TTCCAATAGACCGTTGTTTCTCGGTTCCGGTAACTGGATTGGTTATTAGATCCAGGTACTGTGATTAGCTTATACGCTATTACGTCAAACTGTTGTTTTTTTCTAAAACATTTCCGTCATTCTACATCCGAGTGCATCTTTTCTTCTGCAGACCGAATATTTTATCCTTCTCACTTCCGAGGTAGTGTAAAATTTATATATCTGTGATAAAAATCTATCATGTACAAAAATTAGATAACTTATAACGTCTCAGACTACAAATCCCATAGAGAACACCAATCCCCTAGAGAATGCACGGATACATTTAACTTATTTTTACTTCCTTATCACTAAAGTTTTCATAGAAATCCAAGATGTGATCTTTTGAGTAACAATAAGAAATTGTATAGCGCCAATTTAATTTCTAATTTTTATTTTATTTTACTGAATTGCCTATCACAGTTTATTTGAACAAACACAAAAGCTTATCCTTAATAGATTATCTAGTCACTTGTGAATCTATTTTACTAGAACGTAAGTGAAATATGAAGTTGATTGAAAGCATATTAGCCTTCAAATGACCAAGTAATTTTCAACACCTACCAATAAGTATAATAATCAAAATCATGAATTTCTTCATCAATAGATACCTCTGTTCACTTTTAGTGAAAGAACCAAACTAGGATCAACAGTTGTCTAATGTGCTATATTATGTTCACTAACCTTGGATATCAGTTTTAATTCTAACTTGTTTGTACGTTAGCATCATGCCCATGTTCCCTTAAATTTTGTGAAATAATGTCCTCATTTTATTGCACAAAAATATTTTTATTTTTTCAGTAAGCCATTTTTTGTAGTGAACAAGAACTGTGGTGGGGACAATCAATTTATGATTTGCTGATGTATGAAAACCATACAGTAAATGCTTCACTTGCAAATCATCCATCAACCATGTTCCAAGTCTCAGTTCTTTTATGTTTCTCTTTCTGTTTTCTTCAGTTTAATCTTCTCAACCTTCTGCTCCCATGAATTTCATTTCTGATTGGTTTTACATACTACTTATGTTGACAAACATAAGCAGCGTACACCACATTCTATCTCATGATATCCAGTTGTCTGGGAAGATTTACATTAGTCATTTGGGTATTGTCACTAATATTCGTTGAATGATATCACATTGATTTGGACAACCGATCACAAGTCCATAAATTCACACTGTTTATTCCCTGTAATATGTATTTTTCTGAATGATATTAGTCTTCAGATTTCTGCAAACAAATAATCTCCAATTGTATATACTTCACTCATTATTGACTGCTACCTAGATCATTATTAGACAGTGAATGATAATGTAGATATATAAAATCTGTTTACATGAAACCAATCAAATAAAAACATGATTTATGACAAGATTAGAAACTAGTTAAAATGGTTATTACACATCATATTCAAAAGAGATATTTCATAATGTTTTTTAGTTGTAACCATATGGTCCTGGTAAATCATATGCACATTTAAAAAATATTTTGTGAAATATGGGTTTTTAAATGTCTCTCAACTAATAATGCGCTTTTTTTTTTTGAAAGATTTATATTCTATGTGGGTTTTCGACAGCAAAATAATAAGATACTTTCTTTATACACCCGTTCCTTAATCAGTAGGAAGCACCTGCATCTCAGTAGGACTTGTTTAATAAATGTATTCAGTTAAACTTGTACAGTTGATATAATATTACTGTAAAATTTAATCATGACTGTTCTCACTGTTACTATATATAACTAAAATCATAATTTAAACTCAATGTTCTATCAGTAATAAATCTTTATTTGTTTTTTCTGATGAATAGAACTGATCAAATTACAACTTTATTTTGTTATAGATTTATGAAATTTGAGATTGATATATGTTACTGAACTTAATAAAACCATGAGAGTTTAAACTGGTTGTTTCATCTGACTCTCAGAACATCTAACAGAACACAGTCAAATTCATATATTTTGAAAAACAGGACCCTACAATACTTTGTAGGTGGTGAGAACAAATGCTCACTAGTTAAGCTGGATAATAATTAACCTACATTAGGAATTAAATGTAAACTCTCGATAATTGATTGTAAACCAAATAACTGAGTAACAATAAGTCTAAATTATTCGTCTTTAACTACAGTATTAGACTTCCAATGGTACATCCGTAAAAAACAGTTTGTTGATGGTTAGTGTCGTTAAAAGTTTCTATGCTTTCTCAAATCTTTAATAATTAATCCGTATATTTTATTCTTAGAGTTATATTCTTTTAACTAACTAATAATTGGTGCCTAAGTCCCAGTAACTCATAGCTAACGCTCGATGAGTGATTTTATCCACATCATAATCTATAGTGTTGTAATTTCAAATTACATTTCATTGTAAACAGTTAGTCATGTTGATTATGAAATTTCGCCAAATGATAAAGATCAAGCAGATTGAAAGACCATAACATTAATACTATTTGGAACCAAGCTATTGCATTATAATCCAGCTTATCTCCAGCTTTAATGATGAACGACAGGTTAAGCTCATGTAATCACTATAATATATGCTTTCCGCAAATATAAAAATATGGAATTTGTAATAAAAATATTGTTTATACCTGGACTACTTTAAGCATAGCAAGTCAATCGTAACATTTTGTTTAACAATATCCAAATAGCATTCATACTCAGCTTAACCAAACAGTGTTAATTAATGTAGGATTTCTAATAGACGTATTGAATCTCCTCATTGCTAGAGAACACGTCATTAAGTTAAAGAACATTGAAATCTTTAAATAGGTCTTTGAACCTTCAAATTCTATCCCAATAGACAATATTTTCAAAATCGAACCATCTGCCATACTATACAAGTTGTTATTTGGTGTCTTAATGCAGTCGAATATCTTCACAATTTGCAAAAGAAACTCATCAATCTTTGTCAGGGAAAGACGCTGGAAGTGTATAGGATATACATTGTGGGAATCACCAGACTACATCTCGAGGCAAGTGCTAACTTGGAATCCTGCAATGAAACTGAAAAGAGGTAGACTAACGAACACACTGGAATGCGGATTGAAGGAAGACATCAAATGAATTAATAGCACTTGGAAACAACTGAAAAGTATTGCCCAGAACAAAGTTGGAGGAGAATGCTGGTCGGCGGCCTATGCTTCACTAGAAGTAACAGGTGTAAGTAAGCGTAGCGTAGTGTATGTTCATAGAAGTCTGGGAATAACAATGTAACGATATGGGTACATTTTTACCGCCACCACTGACACTATTAAATAAGTTAGTTAAATAGAGACGAATTAAAAGTTGTTCAAATCACTCTACCTAGTTATAACAACACTGAATTGTCATGTTTTGCGATATGTTGACTAAGATTACCTATTTCAGTCACATTTATCAGGTAATGATAGACAGAGGACCTAGGGGTTAAAAGTGATTTTTACTGCCCTCTTTGATATCTCATTATTTATAATGTTTTAACTGGAACTCTTAGTTTCTACAATCTTTTTTTCAAGTTTGAAATAGTGCTCTTTCGTTAGTACAACTGAGTTTCATCAACAGACACTAACCAAGTCAGTACCTTAAGAATCAAGAAAAAGAAAGTATAATAGCGAAAAAAGAAACAAACAATTTTGTGGATAAATAACAGCTACGGGATAATTTTCAAAACACATTGAATGAACAGGCATTTCATAAGCAGAAGCGTTTTTTTCTAATTGTGTTTCTATTAAAATTGTAATGTGACTTATTTCTACCCTTATAACTAATCGATAAGAATTTGAAATGGTAGTGAAAAAAAAACTATTTGAAACATTCATGTTTTCTTTTTACAAGTCATCACTTGTTTAGTGTACATTTTCATATATAAATAATCCAATTCAATTACACAAGTAGGAACAATCGATTTTCATTCAAATAATGGACTTCTATTAATGAAAAGTAGTGGATCAATAAGGCCTAGAAATTTTCAATGTTCATGGTTAACATATAGTTTTGACATCTTAAACGATAAAATGAATAAGTATTGATTTTTACTGGGAACGTGTATGTAAATAGGGTTTGGCCACAAGTTCAGTCATTTTTTTCCTCTGAGTCATTATTTGAAATTCCGTTTTTTTTGTATAAAAAAGCAACTTAATTCACTCACAAATTAAGGATTAGTTGAATAACACAATCAAATGTTACCTTTTAACCAAGTAGATTCTAGAAAATCCTCTATGAATAGATACAACTCTCTACATCGAGCATGATAACTTAAATTCATATTTAAGGTAAACTACATCCCAGAAACACATGATGTCTTCACCTTTGTGTGTAATGGAATTTACAAAATACTGTATTAGACATTCACCGAGTTTTCTTACAAACAAGAAACCAATAGAAACTTCGTAACAGGAGAAACTCAGGAGTTAGGAAGTCAAATAATTTGATAGAGAACGAACGGAATTATGTAAACTAATTGCATAAACGTCAAATAATTATTACTACTATAAGAGATTGTTAAATTACATAGTATAAATCAGTTAGACAACTAGTGAAATCCAAGAGAAGAACTGGATAGCTGTTAATGCACTCGTCCAAGACATCCTGGTTAACACCCTGTTTAAATGAAATCAATCAGTCATGTGAACTACCAAATAATCACATGCGGGCTGAAGTAATTTTAGTAACTTTTTTCGAATGTACAACAAACATTGAGGAAAAATACTGAGCACCTCTGTCCTATATAATCGAAGGCGGACACATGTAGGCAGCGACGATGTGGATACCACATAACTCTGATTCACTTAAGAGTCATTTACGCATGTCCTTTCTGAAACACCAATCTGTCAAATCAATTAAACCAACCGTGTTTGTCTATTCAAGGTCATCCTGTAAGCCTATTATGATTCGTTCGTTAAATTGTATGCATCAGTTTGTAACCAATTAAAGCAACCCAAATATAACCTTGGCTTATGATTCGCTCATCATAAGGAATGGAACTAGGGCTCATTATCTAGCTGTATTGATCGGACATATCCACATCGATGCCGGAAGCTTCTGCTGTAAGGCTTTTCATTCCTAACTATGACTTTCTAAAGACTTCCAAACCGATCTTACTTAAAGGAGGTACAGTCGTGAACCATGACGTATCTTTCAAATCAGATGTTTTGGTTGAGAATGGTGTTATTCAGTAAGTGAAGTACGCTTACTTCTCACCCATAGGGCTGTTGGTGAAAACCTTAGTTACCCCGACGGCACAGAAATTATCGACGTAAATAATAAATTATTATTACCTGGTATGTATTTAACCTAAATCACTTACGATTTCCAACAGGTGGAATTGACTTGGACTGTCACATTGGTGTCGCAACCCCAAATGACCCTATAGCTGATACTTACTTATCTGCAGGAAAAACAGCTCTTTTTGGTGGTACGACTACAATTGGTATGTAGATATTTTCATTCCCATAACTGACAAACGTAAATGAATTTTATAATATAAAAGTTAGGCTTTTTGGTATTGTTTCACAATTTAAGAGAAAATAAGTCATCCCTCAAACAGTTACATAATAGGCTAGTAAGAAAATATACGATAATCATATTCTCAAACTTGCTGACTCTATTAAGTCCAGTGGTGCACCATCCACAAAGTTTGTTTCGAAATGTTAAAACTACTTACTATCGATTTTAATCAATGAAAGTAAGCAGTGAAAGCCCTAAACAAGCGTTATAAATCTAATAGACAAACTGTAAAAATAGCTAAGTTCGTTAGCAGTACTTTTTGTATCGTTGTTTATCAGCCCAACTTTTAAAAGGTGCTTTCAGATTTTTTTCGCGCTGTCCAACCGCCTAGAATTTGTTTGAAGTAATACTTGACAAACGAAACTTGGTTCGTTGGTTTGATGTACTTGAGTTGGCCCATATCTGGTGTGGTGGTTACCACCAGACATCTAATGATAATTAGCTCCTTTGAACTTGTGTGGTCCACGTGACTTGAGATGTCTCGTTATCCCTAGTGTTTACCTAAGGAAGTAGATGGTCCGTGTTGTCGTACAATGCGGTTATAAGATACATAGCTCAGAATTTCGTACATAAAACCCTATTTTCATAGTGTTTTGGTTTGCTGAACCTACGAAGTACATCTGTGGTAAAAGGTAATGTTAGATACAAAGAACGAGTCAGTTAATATGGCTGTAAATCCGAAGTCCATGAAATAATTGGAATACCGATCATATTTCAGAAAGAGGTGAAGTAACAGGGACTTTGAAGGTTACATAAAGTACGCAATGTATTGAAGATCAACTATTAAGATGCTCAAGTAAAGTGGCTTCTAAGGATAGTACAGTTACACTATTTTTGCCAGTTCGACTTCTTATACTGACTGTACAAGTGCTTTTACTTATTCTCTTAATCAAAGCAGTGGTAATCCCTGTTGCCTTTAGTGATCGTTTTCAGAGTTTGTAAGTAGCATGCTTCCTGACTTAATGTATGTTAATAGTTTGGCTACTTTAAACTGATAAACGCAGAGAGCAAAAAAGCCGTTCAAATCACCGTAGTCGATGAATATTCACAACCTCGTCAATCCACTCGCCATCTTTACTCAGTACTTTACTCGACTTAATCATTAGTTCAACTTAGTGTTTCCATTATGTTTGATCAGTGATTTGAAGATATTTATAGTCAGTTACTGGTAACCTATGCATTTCCTTAATCGTAAAAGTCTAATTCTCATAGTCATAAAGTAATATAGTGCAAACAACTCAGTGTACTCGCTGTTAATGTGAAGCTCACCACCAGCCTTTAGGGTTGTCATTATCTGAAACTTAGGTCGCCAGTAAAAAACATAGGGATTAGTTTCAGGTTGTCATAAAACTAAAATACTAGCCTCAATAATTATCGGGCGCCCAACAATGACTCGTGAACTGCGAACATGAGAAAATCAGGCTAGCTTTAGACATGGTTGTGGTTGCATCGACCACATATTCGCCATTCATAAGATTTTAGAACACAGGCATGCTTATCGGCGTCCGACAATGATAGTCTTCACTTAAAAGCAGTATTTGACTCTGTCGACCGAGAGGTTCTGTGGCAGTGTCTGTCATTAAGAGGCGTTCCTCAGAAGTGCAAAAACCTTGTGAAAACTCTTTACTCGAACACTACCAGTCGAGTCGGAGCTTATGGCAAACTGTCATCTGAATTTACAACCTCAAGTGGTGTCCAACAAGGCTGTTCACTATCCCCATTTTTGTTTAACTTCATCATAGACCTACTTCTGGAAATGACGCTCTCGTCGACTGAATTTTCAGGAATTGATCTCCTACCAGTAGGTCTACTTATCGACTTGAAATACTCAGATGGCATAGTCCTGTTTGGTGAAGACGCTGACAAAATTCAGTGTCTTTTGGTAGCACTGAGTAACAGTGCAAGGATATTTGGGATGCGTTTTCCCCCTCTAAATGTAGATTGTTGCTCCAGGACTGACCTGCGTCAACACCTGAACTAAGGATAGGGAGGGAAGTAATCGAACTTCACTTATCTTGGAAGTCTGATCAACCCTGACGGGTTGGTGTCTGATGAAATCTCAGCACGGATTCAAAAAGCTCGTTTGCTTTTTACCAGCTTACGTCACCTATGGTGAAGGCGAGATATCCGTCTATCAATTAAGGGACGAGTATACTGCTCAGCAGTTCGTTCTGTTCTACTGTACGGCTGCAAAACGTGGCCATTAAGAGGAAGAGATGCTTGTAAGGTACTAGTATTCGACCACAGATGTCTTAGAAATATTAGCAGCATCTTTTGGGATCACCGGGTAAGTAATAGTGAGGTTAGACACGGATATTAAGAAATGATAGTAAATCAGTTGATGTGGTTGTCAATTTCATCGACTGAGATAGTTGGGCCATGTGTTACGTATGTCTGTACACTGATTACCACGACACTCAATGCTGACTAGTATAGGGGATGGTTGGAAGAGAGTTAGGGGCGGCCAAACCAAAACAAGGCATTAGTGCTAGAAGTCACTAACTTCTAGTCTGAGCCATGTTGGTGGATGCAGATAACGTGGTTGTGGTCCGCCTGACTATCGTAACTAATGGTTAGAGACTTTATATGACTTGTCGCAGAATCGATATCAATGGCGTAGTTGTATACACTCCCTCTCTTTCCTATCAACTATGAGATTAAATTCGTTTCATATCTTTATTTCTTCTTGTACTATACTCATTTATACAACCTTACTTTTATGTATTACCACCACTAAATTAACTACTTCTATAAATTTGGTGTTCATCTTGTTGTGCTAATGAGGTATGGCAACTTGGACCGATGCATATGTGTGCCTGGTCCCTGATTGATTGATTGAGGCTGTCACAAAAATCGTTAGATCGCTTTATTGTCTTATTAACATGAAGGCGAATTAATATTGCCCCCAAATTCCCTGGTACGGCCAAGGGTGTGGAGAGTCAGCTCTCCTCGAAATGCTCTCACATGGCCACGCGTATACAGCAACTGCTAGGGAAGTCCCACTCACTGCCTCACGGCGGGGGTGTTGTTTACCACATTGAGAGGACGAAAAGCTAATATCTGGCGCTTTAACCGGGTTAGTAGATATAAAGGATTCACCTAGGGGAGTTTGAAAAACCCTGATTCCAAACCGATGGTGTACATGAGCTCTAGGATCCTGAGGGAACAAATGATGCATGAACCAATTATTGGTCACCGGTGACCATGGGACTGAACTTTCTGACGTTTTTCCACTGCCTTGTGGATCAGACGTTTAGTTTGAGGGCTCCAAGTGTGGCCCCCTAAGAAAACCACTTGCTTCAGTTTGGGAACCCGGTCAGTATCGCAGCCCACACACAAATCAAGTGACATGTATGGCGCATATGTATTCAGCGCCCCTTTGTACCATTATTTATGTGTTCAAATAAACAGACTAGTTAACATGAATGTATTGGTAAGATTACTACTATATATGCTCCTTTAAATACCACCCTCTTATTACTCTTAAAGAAAAAGTCACTCATCACATCTTTTTGGAGAAATAAAGGTCACTTATTTTATTTCGCTCTGAGTTTTCATATATGTATCCAATTTATTTTATCCTTAGTAAACACGGTTAATGCTTATCCTGGGGAATCGTTAATAAGCGCATATGAACAGTTTGTATCATCAGCCCATGAAAACCTAGCATGCGATTATGGTGTATGCTTGCGATTGGCTGGCTTTTCATCAGAAACGAACAATGAACTAATTACTTTAGTTCAAGATAAAGGAGTGGTGTTATTTTCCGTTCGTGTGGGTTCAAAATCTTCATCTATGGTAAATAATGAACAGTGTATTATCAATGAAGAAGAATTTTGTTCTTTCTTAAACATTTGCCGACAGCTAGGAGCGTTGCCAATGCTTGAAGCAGTTACTTCTGTGTCGTTATCTCAGAAATTATCCTCAGATGTGCAAATCAATTTTCCTGATATTGGTCCAGAAGTAAATTTATTGGTTTCACCGGAAGAAGCTGAAGCAAATAGTATATTGCAAGGATCTTTGTTTTCACAATATGCAGGATTTCGTTGTCCAGTTTTAATTTCTAGAATTCATAGTAAAGCAGCACTAAATTGCTTCATTGAACAGCGCCGTATGTGTAGAGGCATATTATTTGGACAAACTAGTATCCCCGCAATAGCTGTTCCTCTTTCTTTGATGAACGGTGATGATCATTCGAACGACGTGTTAACCCATTCAAAGAATTGGGCTGTTGCTGCTAGTTACATGTGTGACCCTCCATTACGACCAGATACTTATCTTAGCCAAAGGTTGCTGACTCACCTCGTCTCTGAAGACTTAGTCTGCGTTGGTTCAGGTCATCGGGCAATAACCACTGCAGTTCGCGCAGCTTTTGGATCAAAAAATGCTGTACATATACCTCGTGGTATAGCATCTTTGGGTCATAGGATGGTTGCCTTATGGCATTTTGGGGTTGAAAGTGGATTTTTGGATCCTTGTACGTTCGTCAAAGTAACTAGTTCTAATCCTGCAAGATTAATTAATGTTTATCCTCAGAAAGGCAGAATAGAAGTAGGTTCCGATGCCGATATATTAATTTGGTCAAACTCCTATAAGCAAGAGATTTTGAAAAACATTTTACCCGATGACGTGCCTAACCTATTTTCTAACACCTCTTATCAGTCGGGCCCTGAAATGGTTATATTACGTGGTCATATTGCTGTTAAGAATAGCGAGTTTTCAAATAACACTTCCACCTGTGGGAAACTACTCGTTTGTCGACCATTTTCTCATTATGTGTATGCTCGTGTCGATGCAGTCGAAAAAAGTGTCAATTCCGAATTTGAAATGCTCCAACGCGAACCATACGTAGGAAACGCGGTTTCCAATGCAACTGAAGCTTCAAATGATAACAAGGAAGGTTATTACTTTCGGAAAGAATATTATGATAATGTACCCAAAGGTTAGTTAATTTTTTATGCTATGCTTAGTTTGTTTTTGCACACATCAAAAAGCAGACAAGAAATTGAGTATGAACACCGGGATGCCAGTACATTTAGCTGATGAGTCCCAAGCAGGACGGGACGCTCATCATGAATTCTGCTGTTAACCATATCCCGTCTTTCCCATAAAAACAACAATGTGTCCACTGACTCTTATGCTATCATAATCCGAAAATCCACATTATCGTATTCCAACCCCTAAACCTTTTCAATGTTTTAACTTGGGGATAATTAGAGTCAGTATCAGTAAAGTAACTGAAGTCCAAGTTTAATAGGTTTATGGTTAAGCAAATGCCTGCATTACTAGAAAATCCTAGTGTGTATCACTTGCTATCGCTAGTTGTCTGCTAACTATTTCCGTGACATCTTCGTTAAACCACAAAATTATAATGACTATCTTAAGTGTATCACTTTCTTATAGAACTATGTAGTTAAAGTGAAATGAAAACGGTCGAACTGTATATTGAATTACCCGGTTAACAACTTTTATTGGTGTGCCTTTTGTGTAAAGATACTACATTTGTAATTCAGCGGCTCTATCAAGTAACAATATCTCAAAGAGATGAACAAACACAGTCGTCAATATCTCATGTTAAGAATACCGTCGTCATGTAAACACTGAAAACATGAAGCCGATGTTGAATAACTTTTTATTCACTCTATACTAACAAATTATTTGTAGCTCACATCGCTTGTTTTAAATATTTTTTTAAAATACTTTTAGTGGCCTTGCCACCTGGTCAGAGAAAAATACACACGTCAGTTAAAACGGCTCAACCTCCCGGTGGTTCATCGAATGCGTTTTGGTCAAACGAATAAAAAAGATTTATTGTCCATGCTAATTTCTACATTTCTGATTTCTAGCTTTATATTTCAGTTCGAGTAATTCCCATAATGCATTTCAACTAAATCAACCAAATTTCTTTAACTATTTACGTGTCTTAATTAATATTTATTTGGTTAAAACAACCACTAATGTTGTGCAAACTGTTTGTTAAGTAACAATCTAATAAATTTAATTACGAATTATCCTTTTATACATTTCCATCGGTTGATTGTTCCATAGTTCTAAAAATGTAATGGAAAAAGCCTTGTTTTGTAATCTTCCAATCACAACGTATTAACGTAGAAGCCTCCAAAGTTGCACATTAGTTTAGGTTACTATTCCAGAGACTGATGAAAATGCTTTTTGTAATGTCCGACCACTTTTTTCTGGATTACAACATCACCTACCACTGTATTTCCATGTCAATCACGAATTGATGTTTTTCTTTGTTTGAATTAACCTGAGATTAATTCCATCTTATTTTTACTAACATCAAGATAGTACTAGGTCCTTCAGTCTGTCAATCAATGCAATCTTGTTAGTTGGTTTGATCTAACTTACTGGGACCTAACCCCCAAATTCACGACACCTCATCCTGGGGTATGGATGCACACCTATTTTACAAACACACTCAAACTTTATGTGTGTGAGAAAACCAATAAGAATTCATTTTCAAGCATTATGTAACACCATGGTACAAATATATTTACCAGATTAGAATTAAATTAACATATGTAAGATTATGGACTACTTTTACTGGTGCATACCACTGTGCGTTGTTCTTTCCCAAATTCGTCTCACTTCCTCGTTTAGTTCCAGCTGATAGTTAAGGAATGTCCGGTTGTGTTGTGGAGGGAGATTGTGGTTGGTGAGACGAAATCCCAACTGTTAATATTAATGAAAAGAGTATTAATAGATAAATGATATGATGTGGCCAGGTGTCTACGAGAATGATTGGTTTACATCAAAGGAAAGCCTATCAGCTAGAATGATAGTTTTTCTTTGCGATAATATGTCATTTTATATACAAAATAATTATACATGATCCGCAAAACTTCATAGGCTATTGGAGGCAATTAGTTTGTAGGTCATTCATTCTCTAATCAATTAATTTCTGGTAGTCGGGCTTGGTCCTTGTATATCGTATCAGGTTGATGAATGGTATTTACTTTTCTATCAACAGTTACCCCTTTTTATGCTTTCTCCTTGAAATGTAAGTTAAGAAACAATCGCTACACAAAAGTACGACAGTTCATGCTTATGAGGCATTTGCTCAATCGTCGTGTAGTTTCTACACCCGATTAACTCTTGCTTGCGTTCATATAAATGATCCAATGTTATCTTGTCCTAGTGAGGTTATGTAGCAAGTCTGATTCCAATTTAAATGTCACAATATGCTGATTGTCAATAACAGTAAGTGGCGTGATGAGATCAAGTAGTAACATCTAACAAGGCTTGTCCCACTGTAATAATCCCAAAAGTGAGATAACTGTCTTAATTTTATGCCAAAATATAGTGACTAAGTGAATATGTATATAAGTTATATCACTTCATTAAAAAAGGATACTACTGCTTAATCTGTTATCCAGTTATTTTGACTTAGAGGCTGTCAGTAAATATACCAAGTTGGTTTTTTTCAATCTTATGAATAGTTACCGCTTAGCAACCTAGTTCGCCTTGCATCACTAATCGATTGTCTTTCTAACAATTAAATTGTAATCGTAATACATTGAGATTAGGTAGTATTGAGTTTATGTCATTAACATCAATGACCAATTGCGAATACATTGATCGAGAGTTAAAATAGCAATATTATTGAATGTACATCCAAATAATTAGATCAGCTGATACTTCAACTAATAACAGACGGAATCAAGATGGAATGGGAATAAATGAATATCAGACTGAACTAACGTAATAATCATATTGGGTCAACACGAGTTAGACATTTCTCTACTTGTATTGGAATTATAATAACCCTACCATTAGAATATCCAGGAATTGTATTACAAATGAGCACACTGGTGCTAGGATTACTGCAAATAGTAGTAATCTGGGACTGTAATGTTATGACTGAAACCCACACTAGCATTAGATAGGTCTAATATGAAATGCAATGAACTGACATGTGTTCAAAATGTGCAATAAAGAGAGTATCTTAAATACTAATAGGCCATGAGAATAAGGTGAGCATGGAGGCAGACGAACAAACATTTAAAATAGAGAGAATTACGGGTAAAGGTTTCGAACTAATAAAAACGATCACACGACAACAGACTCAGTCAAATTAATGCGTTTGGTGGTCACATGCTTGGTTAGATCTTGAAATCAAAAATGAGTATACAGTTGTGTGAATTCGTCATGTCCACGTCAATTACTATAGATAACTAACCAGTTGCGACTCCTAGAATTGCTTAACATTTATTATTGATTGTTCTGCTACAATGACTATAAAAATATTCAGTTGATAATAGAGCATAAACTATTGAAGGAAATAAAAATATGATCAACCTGGATGCAAATATATAAAGCAAGAGCAATATTGATCTCTAATTCGAAAAAAAGACATCAGCAATGTGTGATGGAATAATTGTATAGTCGCGTGAATGGTTAACTAACAATAGATGATGAAATGTGAGATGACTGTGTATAGTGCTTGTATGAACTAATAATTCATTTGTACTTGACGAGTGTCTGATTTCAAATTCCAAATACAATACATTCGTTTGTGCTCATTCAGTTCTGTCTAGTCAGGTTGTACTATTTTGGGGAATCCTAGTTAGTACAATTGTAGCTGTAAATAATTCCCCAAAATCAATAGCCTTCTAAGTGTTCGACATTGGATGCTGACCACGTTGTTTAAGTGGACTTGTTTAACTGTAGGCTTTCGGTCATGCATCCGCACCAGATCACGTTTCAACTCGGCATGGGACACTGCTCCTACATTTCACTAGCCAGTTTATAGTAAAGGTTCTTCGATATATTGGTAACGTATCAAATATATCTTTCCTACCTCTTCTCGTCTGACTTCTAATTTCCTGTGGCCGGGAACGATCGATTATAGGAGATACTACTGGTTGCTAGTTGTAAAACTAGAATATCCGTCGTATCCTCAGTGGTGAGCCTAACGTGATCTGGTACACCAAGCCAATATACTGTGAGTCTGTTCCTTTTTGGAATATTATTATTCATTGTTATTCTTTATTTGAATTTTATATATTGTGATATATTTTTTCGCGAGTTTTTCCCGGATATATTTTAATTAGACATTTTTCTTTCCTTATATTACTATGACGGAACACTCACCTAAAGTTCTTAAGTTAAAGTCTATTCCCCCAATTTCGATTCAGTTAACGCCATTTTGGCCAGACAATATCGAGTCCTGGTTCTGCTACGCGGAAGCTGATTTTTGCATACACGGAATCACGGACTCGCGCGCACGATTCCTCGCGGTAGTTAAGGCGTTACCCCGTCGAGTTTAACAGGCACGTAACACCTAGTATGTTTACTAGTGATGTTCCCGAACCTTACGAAACTCTCAAATGTTCGATTCTAAAACGTGGAGACCTAACCGACCGACAACGGTTAGACCAACTCCTCCATAACATCGACCTGCAACATGGTTCCGCTACAGATATGTTGCTTAGGATGAGAGAAGTGATAGGTCAAAGAACCTTCAACGAAGGCCTATTCAAAGAACTTTTCTTATCCAAACTCCCAAAACAGATGCAGGCGGTTCTCGTCTCGTTCCAAAACAACTCGGTAGACGGACTAGCTGCATCTGCCTACCGAATCTTAGAAATCACTAAATCTTCTAAGGCCGAGGCTGAGGAAAAACCTCAATCGACCCCGACTGACATAGCCGAACTATGTCACACGCTTACACGATATCTTAGAGTTCGTAATGACTGTAGTCGGTCAAAAACTCCGCGTAGAAGTGTCTCACTTAGGCGATCTGTCTCTCGTGTTCCCGACTGGTGCTGGTATCATAACCAGTACGGCAAGTCTTCCAGAAATTGCAGGAAACCCTGCAATTATCCGACCTCAAAATCGAATGACACGAAAAACAGTTCGGGAAACTTCCCAGCCGGCACGCGTTAACGGCAACCGTAGCCGGCGAACACATCCGCCTCTTATATGTCACGGATGTGACTACGAAATTTCGCTACCTCGTCGACACCGGCGCAGAAGTTAGCGTTCTTCCAGCAAATCCCAACGACAGACTTCGCGAGTCTGTTTTAAGTTTACAGGCGGCAAACGGAAAGCCGATCGCTACTTACGGTAAAAGGTACGTTTACCTTAAAGTGGGTTTACGCAAACCCATACACTGTATTTTCGTGGTTGCGGAAGTCTCTATGCCAATCATTGGTATCGACCTGTTACAATACCACAATCTACTAATCGACACACGCTCACGAAGGTTAATAGACGGAAACATTAAGTTATCGGTTTGCGTAACTCCTTGTTCTGATTGCAGGTTATCCCCAGTCACGATTAAGCACACCATAGACCCCTTGTACCAATCATTACTGGACAAATACTCAGGGATATATCAACCACAATCGAAATTGCCTTGTGTAACCAGCAATGTTACACATCACATCTCGACTACAGGACCACCTGTATTTTCGAAAGCCCGACGACTTGCTCCCGAAAAGCTTAGCTTAGCCAAAAACGAATTCGACCATATGATAGACTTAGGTATAATTCGACCATCGAATAGTCCATGATCATCCCCATTGGACATGGTCCCTAAAAAGGACAGCAACGATTGGCGGCCAACTGGTGATTATCGGCGTCTGAATGCTAAAACCATTCCCGATCGTTACCCGCTGCCTCATATTCACTATTTGACAGCTACCTTGGAAGGTACAACTGTCTTTTCGAAAATCGACTTAGTTAAGGCTAATAACCAAATCCCGATGGCAACTGACGACATTCCTAAAACCGCCATCATCACTCCCTTCGGTCTTTACGAATTTCTACGAATGCCTTTTGGTTTGAGAAACGCGGCTCAAACCTTCCAAAGGTTTATAGACGACGTCTTTCGAGGTCTCAACTTCGTACATGCGTATGTTGATGACTGTCTAATAGCAAGTCCGGACGGAGAATCGCATCTCAAGCATCTGGACATTGTTTTCGATCGACTCCAAAGGCATGGCATTACTGTCAACGTACAGAAATGCCAAATTGGAACAAACTCCTTAGACTTCCTAGGACACACTATTGATGCCCAAGGCATCCGACCCCTTAGGAGCAAAGTGGCGGCCATTCTGGATTACCCAGAACCGACCACGATCAAGCACTTACGAACTTTCAACGGACTTGTAAGTTTCTACAGACGGTTCATACCCCAATGCGCATCCCTTATGAAACCGTTAACCGATCAGCTTCGTGGAAATGCGAAATCAATTAGTTTAGACGACACAGCCCGTAAAGCATTCTCCACAGTTAAGGAATACATCGCTAAGGCAACCCTGCTTGCGCATCAGGACACTCAAGCGCCCATTAGTATCGCCGTAG